CTGCTAGTGAACTGACAAGTCTGAAGCCTGGAGCACTAGGGTAGCTGCTGGCAGTGTGCACACCAGAACTCTCTCCGCAGAGGGCTTGTTTTCCAGCACTGCCTAAGGGGCAGACGTCTACCAGGAAGACAGATGTAGCACTGACTGCATCGTGTTAAGATGTGTGATCATACTCTCAGAAACATAAATTATGTTTCGTATTGTAAGCCGAAGAGCGCGCATTCAGTCTTTTATTAACCTGCCAGGTTTTTATGTGTTTTCAGAAAACGGTTTGAAATTTCATCTACAAATAAAATAATCTAAATAAAGACTTTACTGTCTAATTTATGGGGGTGTGGGGGGGAAACTCTAGCGAGCAAATAAGACAGGCAAGAAAACACATGGTTTTCTTTAAAAAGTTGATAGTCTAACAGGAAAAGACTCTTCAAAAATGTTGGGACCCCACCCTAACATGCCAAAATTGAGGAGAACCTAGAAGAGAAATAAGGTGCGTGGAATAACAGTTTTTAGAAACAAAAATGCTAGAGTATTCTAAGCCTCAACATGGCTGAACTCCCAGGAACATGGCAAATCCTCCTGAGGGCTGAGAACATTCACTCAAAGTCTAAATTTATTCCTGCAACTGATTTTTAAAATAGAATGCCCAACATACACATATATAAAAAACAAAACTTAATACACATACAAACTAAATTCTATGATTAAAGATCTAGGGAAAACTATAGATAGGAAAAATCTAGAGCACAGGTATTTTAGATGACAAGCAACAATACTAACTATAGATATATATTTTTTTAAAGTTTGAAAATCTCTGCAAAGACTAGGAAGGCAGGCACACTATAATTCCAAATTTGCAAGAGTCTAAAGTAACTTTAGAAACAAAGATATATTAACTAAAATAAAAAACCTAAAGGTAGAGTTTCTGGATTGGTGACTATGTGAGGGCATTATGAAGGTGGCATGTCCTTCATAATATATGTATATATAACAAATATATATATGTATATATTTGTTTTTTGGGGTTTTGGAGACAGGGTTTCTCTCTGTGGCCTTGGCTGTGCTGGACTCTCTTTGTAGACCAGGCTGGCCTCGAACTCACAGTGATCCACCTGCCTCTGCCTCTCTGAGTGCTGGGATTACGGGTTGTTTTAAAATTCTTATGCATGTGTATGTTTTTGTAAATGAATTTTAAAAATAATTTAATTATGTATTTTAAGTGAATATATTCTACGGTGTGTGAATCATATCTAACTATAGATACTGAGAATGCAATAAGGCACTCACACACAGGCACCAGCTCTACACTTCCACAAGCATGAGAGCAAATGCCTTCTTATAATTCGCACCCTGGGCTCCTCACTTTGCTTCACTGCAGCCTGCTGTGTCTGCAGCCACTCTCCCTTACACACGGACCCCCTTTTATTTGTTGCATCAGAGGAGGCCTGGAAGGAGAACACTGTTTATGTAATTCTTCCTTTACACACACCCTTTCTTGAAGGTACTTAGCCCAGCCTGATGCCCCGAGTTCCAGTCAGTCCAAGCACCCACATGGTGGAAGGAGAGGATGGACCCCCCACCCTTGTATGCTGAGCTTGCACACATGCTGTGGCACCACACACACATCATGCATGTACACACAATAACAAGCACAAATTTTACATTTTAAAAGGATTCGATGTCTTGATGCCTTGTCCCTGAGTTGTATTTAGTAGTCAGTCCCTCCTCCAGGACCTGACGAGGTTTTAGTGGGGATGGTGGTGAGAGCTAATATTGGTTGTCAACTTGACTGCATCTGGAGTCAAATAAAGCATAAGCCAGTGAGCACTTCTGTGAGAAATTTTCTTGATTAGATTATCTGAAGCAGGAAGACCCAGCCTAAATATGGCCAGCCCAGATTAAAAAAAAAAAAAAATGGAAGAAAAACTTTTTTCCCCCTGTTTGCTCTCATCTATCCTGTGGGTGGTACATTCCTTCACCAATAGCAGAACCAATTTTTTTTTTTTTTTTTTGGCTTCCAAAGACCAGCCACTGGGACATGTCCTTGAAGGGCATATTGAGAGCCTTAATCCTTTTCCTAACTCATTCCCTGGCCACCATGAGGTAAGCAGCTTTGCTCTACTTTGAACTCCCTGCAACATACTGTGTTTCCATGTGTCTAAAAACAACAGAGCCAAACGATCATAGACTGAAGTCTATGAAGTTGTAGGCCTGAATTAACCTTTCTTTTTGTTAAGCTGATTTATTTTGGGCATTTTGTCACAATAGTGGAAAGCTGACTGACACAATGACACAACCATACTTACATATAACATATAATTGACATGCATACAACATAATAAAATGTATACATATTGATTCTATTTTACAATTTTGTACAATGTCACATTCATGTTAAAGGAGGACTGTCTATATAACAGTGGCCCCATACTATTTTCCTCACAGAGTGATGTGATGTTCACCAATGATAAAATTGCCTAACAAGTAATTTCTCAGAATGCATTTCCATTCTGAGAACCAAGAACTACTTTCATGATCACAGGGTTGAAAACTTACCGAATAAAAATGCAGTAAAAACACAGAATGCTTTGGATAAAGCCCAACAGAAAGAAAAAGATTCTGAGCTTTTTTCTATTCCCCCTTCTGGACATACTTAAACAATGTTCTTAGATTTGATGAGTTGAGGGTCTCCTTGGTTACTTTTCAATGTCTAAGCAATAAAGCCCTAGTCTTACCTGCTGGGTAAGTCTCAGGTAACCAGTTAATATCTGTTAGGATTTTGCTGATAAAAGTAAGGAGAGGCTGGTTGAAAAGGGTATTAATTTATTAAGTAATGAAAATTTGCATTTCTTAATATGCTCCCAGAGAATGCCAAAACATTGGTCCTAATGTGTGTTTTGACTATGGCCATCTAGGTCACAATCAATAGATATTTTTATGGAAGTATCGAGGCCTTATCCAAATTCAGACTCTCTGGGAATCATGTTCACTAGCATAAAATATATTTTAAACAATTTCCTGGTGGGACTTGAGAATCACTGATCAGTGGGTTTGAAATGCCCTCTACTTTTTTTTTCTCAACTTGTTTATTTTCTGTTCTTGAAATCCCAGTGCAGGTCCCTCCTGCTTGATGCTTTTATTGATCCCTTCAGACAAATTCATTCCCTCTGCTTGCAGCAAGCTTTTTATCATGTACTAAACATTCTTGCACATATCCTGTCTCTCCAGATTTTACTTCTGGGCACTTTGGTTATGAGCCTAGCTTTAACAGCTGCACATCGCTCTTAAAAAAAAAAAAAAAAAGCTTTTATTTCTTGAGGCAAATAATTGTTTACATTCTTGTAGCATCAGCTCCTAGCATCAGCCTTGTCTTGTTGATTATGAGGCTAGCCTGCAACAGCTGAGCCACCTTTTGAGCCCAACTAGCATAATTCTTAACACACAGTGTTAAGAAACATAATGAATGTTTGTTGTAGATAATAATTCTGATTATAATGGATGATTAATTTCTTTCCTGGATACATGGTTGCTCTTCAGTCTCATGAAGTTAAAATAAACCCCTAAGCCCTTAAAAAAAAAAACACTCAAATTTTAAGGCAAAAACTGCAACTCGCAACAATGGCATATTACTTTTCAGAAATTGGCAGTACATGTTTTTTATGCCATCAGTTTGGATTTTATTATGGCAAATGACACTTTAAAGAATGAAAGGAATATGTCTTTTATCTGCGAGATTCAAAATACTCTAAAAGCATCTTTTAAATTACTGTACTGTCATGCTATAAATACAAAAGCAAAAAGCTGATGAGAGAGAGAGAGTTGTAACATACTTGGTCCAATCACCGACATCCTAAGAGCCAGGTGGCGCATCAGAGCCAGGTGGCGCACAATTTTAATCTCAGACAGAGGCAGGTGATCTCTGTAAATGCAATTTCAGCCTGGTATGTATCAAGTTCAAGGGTAGCCAGAGCTACAGAGGGAAAGCCTGTCTCAAAATAAAAACAAAGAAAGCGAGTGGTCCACGGGTAACACCTCAGTGTTTCTCGGGCCTCAAGTTATGTGACCTGAAAGGTGCACATGTTATAGAAGAAAGGGAGCTGGGAAGAAATTATTTCCATATGGGGGAGTCCATTTCTTTTTTCCTCTGTATTCCTACTTCTATTGGTTTATGTATTTTATGAGGTTTATACATTTTAAAAGTAGGGTTAAATGCTGACCCATCCTCTGGCAACATTCTTATCTATTTCTCAGACATTATGTTCTCCCTACCTCTGTGCTGCTGTTGTCGCCCAGCAAAAACAACTGCCAGCTGAGGTGATTTGACAGGTTGGAATCCCCATTCATTTCTCAGGAACACTGCTGCTTAGAAAATTCGGTTCGCCTCTCAGTTCCCTCGGTGTGAAGTGGGAACCTCGCAGGATGGAAGAAAGGACAGAAAACGACTCGTAAAACTGTCAAGCACCAAATAGATACAAGTTGTTCCTTACTACGTTTCCTATTTACCTTAGTGCAGGAGACTACCCCTGCGCAGCATAACTAAGAAGCAAAGGGAAGGCGTCAGGAACCCACCTTGGGGTAGTGCTTTTCCCCTTTGAGGAAAGAGGAAGGCAACGGGTGTACAGAGCGCTGGCAAAGGGGGTGAAACTACAACTCCCGTGAGGCTCCACGCGCGCCACCTTAGGCTCCCAGGCAAGCCGGCGCCCCGAGGCGAAGAGGGCGGGGTCTGCGCGCGCCAGCGACTCTCCTAGTGAGTGGAGAGGCGGGCTGCTTGAGGCGAGAGGGACACCCGGTGCAGACGCACGTGCGAGCGTGGGGCGGGTGACCAGGGAAGACAGCTGGGGAACAGCGTTAGAAAAATAAAGCCGGCTGCGCGTCGCTGCGGAGGCGCCGGGCGCGCGCCCCCGGGCTCGCGCCGCATGCCTCGGGCACTTGGAACGGCCAGGGCGGGCGGGGGCGGGGCGGGCGGCGCGGGGGCGGGGCGGGCGGGCGGGGGCGGGGCCTGAGGCGGCGCGGGCGAAGGCGGCGACCCAGACATCTGGGACTGTTGTTGTTCTCTCGCCTCACGCCCGCCTCGGTTCCAGCGAGCGGAGATCCGGAGCGGGGCTGCCGGGAGGCGGGCGGTCGTCTCCGCCCTCCCTCTCGGGTCTCCCGAAGCTGCGGCAGGGGCTGGCGCTCGCCGACCGCCTCGCGGCTCGCCTCCGATGCCCGTCGGCAGGGCGGGGTCGTCTGGACCCTGGTGAGCGCACCCCGAGCCCCCCGCCTCGGTGTCTTCGCCCGCCCCTCGGGCCCGCACACCCGCGTGTCTGCCATGGCTGAGAACGCAGAAGATGACCTGAACTCTAATCTGCTCCACGGCCCCTACCTCACCGGGGACCCGCAGCTTGACACGGCCGTCGGGCAGTGGCTGCGTTGGGACAAGGTGGGTACCTAGTCACCCCGGCATCCGTCTCTCCCTGCTCACCCTCTCGCAGTCCGTCTTTCCTGTACCCACCCAGAGCTCTGCAGGCTGCAGGGGAGATGGCTCGGGTCGCCGCAGGGCTAGTGGAGGTGGACGATGCCTCTCACCTATGCAGGGGCTGCCTCCCTCGGGCGGGCTGGGCAGGGCAGGGGCATCTGCAGTAGCTTTCCTTTGCCGTAGGTTAAGCTGCAGCCCCTCTCGCTCCGCTGTTACTCCCTGCCGTCCAGTGTGTATCATCTCCCATTCTCAAAAATACTTCATCCTCATCATCTTCATCACTGTAAGCTAGACTCTGCATACTCTGCATCCGTTTCCTTTCTCCTTTCTCCCTTCACTTCCTTCTCTGCATAACCTCAAAGTGGCTTCTGGAACGTTTCCTGGACGTTACTAACCACTATCTGCTTTGGTGTTGGTTTGGTGTGTTTTCACCCTCTGTCGCTAGGTAATCGCTAGGCTGGTTAGGTATTCGCTGATCTATTTCACTCTATTTTCTGGTATCACCTTTTGCTATGGAAAATGACAAGAGTCGCCTCTTATTTCTTACCTCTGCTGGCAGTTATTTTATGGGAGTATCCTGCCCAAAGAATCGTGATCATATATGCATCTTGAATATTCTAATTATCCTTCCAGAGTCTTCACTTCTCAAACCATAACGTTCCAATAGATCACCTGGGAATCTTAAAAGGCAGATTCTGATTAGGTATTTAAGAATTTCTTATGAAATTCAGAATTGCTGCTGCCTTGCCATGCCATTTTTTTCTGTTTTCTCTCTCCTTGTGCAGGCATACAGGGTGGATTGGTAAAAGCTAGAATTAACATATATCCTTTTCACTCATAGAAGAGGCCCTTGGAGGATCTGGCAGAGGACAAGATGATAATTGTTTTGTCAAGCACATATGATACACAAGCTAAAACAGAGAAGGCAGCACATTTAAAACTGTTTAGTACTGAATTAAGAGGTTGGTATGGCAGTATGCGAGATTAATGTTTTACAGAAAAACTACCTGAAATCGTTTTCTAAAGCATTTTAATTTCATTTTTTCCCAGTCTTTGTGCATTTAAGAAGGGGGAAAACTCCCAAATACTGAGTGTTCTAGGCTGGCCAGGAAATACTGGTGGTCAGAAAGATAGAAAGAGTTCTTGCCCTTAGAAAGCCTTCAGTTAGTAGATAAGGAAGCCCAACAAATAAGCAACCACAGTCAAGTATTTGGTCTCACTGGCTCATATGTATCTTAAATGTCCTAATCATTCTTCTAGAGTCTGAACCAGTGTTTCTCAGACATGAACGTGCTAACAGATCATCTGGGAACCTTAAAAAGGCAGTTTCTGACCAGACAGCTAGGGTGGGGCCTGACCTGCTAGCAGCCTTAGTGAGCTTCCAGGTGATTGACACAAGTGTTACTGATCTGTGGACCACACTAAAAATAATGAGACTCTTTCAGTATCAGCTTTGACTATGTTTTTCCTAATAAATGTTCTGGTTGAATGAATTAATATGTATTAATTGTCTGTGTTATGCCCAGACTCCTGAGATATACCGAAATATATAAGAACTGTTAATGCATATAAAAATAATGCAGCAACAGTTAAAGTAGCAATAAAGGAAGTTGCAGGCATTCAGTTCTTATGGGAGTTCAAAAATGAGAGTGATGTGTGGAGTGGGATGGTCAAAGAAGGCTTTTTGAGAACATGGAGATGCACATAAAAAGAACAGGGAAAACCTCCAGGAGAGAAAGAGACGAAATAAATGTAGACCTTCATGAACATAAAAGAGGATAAAACAAAGGCTCCCAAATAAAATACAGGGAACAAGTAATAGCACCTTAACAGAAGAAAAAAATAATTTTATTATTTATATAGTATTGCTCTTTTAATGGGAGACAATGCTGTTATTTGAGAAACAAAGGTTTGTCTACTGTGGATTGATACTTACAAGGTAGGCTAAGTCCTAGGTCACTAGAATTTAGAGTACAGTTTAAAATTTAAGTATTTCATTACTATACATTGACAGTTCATATATCCCTCCCCAGCAGGGTTTTTCTGTGTATTCGTGGCTGTCCTAGAACTCAGGATGTAGACTAGGTTGGTCTCCAACTCAGAGTTCCACCTGCCTCTGCCTCCTCATTGCTGGGATTAAAGGTGTGTGCCACCACTGCCTGGCCAGCATGCATGTAGTCTTTTAATGAAGAGAGTCTGAGCTGAGCACCTCATTAATACCAGATAAAGAACCCTGATAATGCTGCTGATTCTTGAAGATTGATGAGGCATGCAATAAGTTATAAACTGGTCTCGGGTACTTTGCTGTATGCCATAGGTAGCAACAATTACTAATTTTAGCTTTGGTGGCTTGGTGTACATTGAAAAGTCTTCATGAAAAAAATGTTATTTGTGTTGAACTTTCTCAGTTCATTAACATTAAGATTTGCTAAGATGGAGAAGGAAGACTGAGAGTCAGAAAGATGGAAAATTGAATGTGTAGTTAACACATTTGTGTCTGCTGAAGCTTAGGGTACATAGAGAGAAATCTTCTAAAAGGTATGTGAAGACCATATTGTAGAAGAGCTTTTGTATATCTTTAGTGGCCTTCAGCAGTGCTAAAAAGAAAATAGTGCAAGAAGATAGTCCCAACATAGCGACTCTTGCAGTTGGGAGGCTGACACATTAGGAGCAGTTAAGAGTTTGAGGATAGCCTGGGCTACATAGTGAGTTCCAAGCCAGCCTGAACAGTGTGAGAGTTGTTTTTTGTTTTTATTTTTCATCTCTTTCTGTTTTTTAATCAGATACCCTGGGGCTAGAGCACTCTTGTGTAGCTCCACTAGGGCAGCTTTCTGTAGGCAGATTTACCAGACTTTGATCTGACCTCCTATTTGCATCCAGGCTTTTGTTTGGTATGTTAGTTTCCCTAGTCAACTCAAGGTCATAGAAACCAATGACTGGTTTAAGAATACTGTTTTATTAACTTAACAGTTTATGATATAGATGTAATAGCCAAGTAGATTTGTTTCTTTTTTAAATTTTTTATCACAATTTATTCATTATATATCTTGATTGAAAACCCCTCCCTAGCTACCCTCAGTCCCACCCTCCCTCCTTCTTCCCCTCCATCCCTTTCCCCTAGTCCACCCATAGCTTGTTAAGTCTCATCAGGACTGCCTGGATCCTCTTCCTCTGTGGCCTGGGAAGGCCTCATTACTAGGGGTGAGTGATCAAAGAGCAGTCAACCAAGTTCATGATAAGGGCATTCCCTGCTCCACTCACTCAGAGATCCACAGGGAGACTGAACAGCCAATTGGCCACATGTGAGCAGGGGGTCTATGTCCTCTCCATGTATGGTCCTCCATTGGTGCATCAGTCTCTGCAGGGCTCCCTGGGCTTAGATCCTTTAGCTTTGTTGGTCCTCTCCATGTCCCTCTATTCCCACCCCTCTCTTCCATAAGACTCCCTGTGCTCTGCCCAGTTTCATGAGTCTCAGCATCTGCTTCAATCCCCTTTTGGGTGGATCCTTTCAGAGGACCCTCTATAGTAGACTCTCTTCCTGTTTCCTCTCTTCCACTGCTTCTGGTGTCTATCCTGTTTGCCATTCTGAATGAGATTTAAACATCCTCCTTAGGGTCAGTGTTTATCTTCTTTAGGTCTGTAGATGGCTATACTATATTATGCAGCTAATATCCACATGTAAGTGAGTGTATACCATGCCTGTCTTTCTGTTTCTGGTTTACCTCATTCGGGATGATTTCTTCTAGTCCCATCCTTTTGCCTGTAAATTTCATAATTTCCTTGTTTTTAATAGCTTATCCATGCCTCCATTTTAATCCTTATCCATTCCTCCATTGAGGAACATCTAGGTTGTTTCCAGATTCTGGTTTTTACAAATAGAGCTCCTGTGAACATAGTTGAGCAAATGTCTCTTGAATGGTGGGCCATCTTTTGGATATATGCCCAGGAGTGGTATAGCTGGTTCTTGAGGTAGTGCTACTCCCAATTTTCTGAGAAAGCTCCAGATTGACTTCCAAAGTGGTTGTAGATTTGTTTCTAATTCAGTCATTTGGTAGGTACACTGTAGGGAAAGCCAAATAATCCAGAGAGTTTTGATGATCATGAAGCTAAATTACATGGGGTCAAACATAACATTTAACAGCATCAGCTTGTAACAGGCAAATTAATCCATCTTTGTGTGTGGCTTTGCTACTACTATAACCCCAAAAGTCCAGGGATTGAGGAGTTCCTTCAGTCGGCTTTGCACAGAGACTGCCACCACCAATATGCTCTCCTCTGCTCTAGGGTAAGGCTTATACCTCCTTCCTATTTATTTCATTCAGGGGTTTCATGAGTTGTCAAGTTACAGACAAGCAGTCCTGGCGTAAAAGTCAGGTTGTTTAATGTCAGAACTGTCCGTTGATTTTGTTCCAATGTGAATTTTAACTCTCTAGAAGCAATTATATATCTAAGGTATTAAGCACTGGTAAAGCATGGGTGGGTAGACAGGGAGGGGCCCTAGGACACAGGGCAGAGCTACTCTTCTAACTGTAACAGAACAGCGAAGGTCCTATATGTTAGCAACAGTGTGTAGGCAGGAATTTGCCATGGCAATTTAAGAAACAGTAAGTAAAACATTCTGGTCTTACAATGTAGATCTGTATTAAGAAAGAGTAGAACATGAAGTTGAAGATGGATTGGGTTTATAAAGAGCCTGGAAAGGAAAGAAAAGGTATCAGTCCAAGCCAGTGAGTTTGAGACATTTAACAAAAGGCTGTGAATTCATTCCCTACGCCTCCTTTATTAGTCAGTCTTACAGGGCTAGAGTAATACCTGAGTCTGGGTAATGGATGAAGAAAGGAGGCTTATTTAGCTCAGTTTGTATAAGATCTGCTAGCCACTTTTGTTTGGCCTCTAGTTAGAGCCTCATACCTGATGGAGTCATGGCAGAAACATATGTAAAAGGGATTAATTACACAGTGAGG